AGGCATTATCGTGTAATACTTGCTCCTACTATAATCTACCTTTACTCTGCTATTTGTCAATTCTCTGTTACATGCTTTATTAAAAATGTGTTCTTAAACATTGCCTTTTACATTTAGACTCAAATTATGCTGCATGCAAATGCTACTTTTGCTTATCCACAGTTTATGCCTGGGTTTAAATTATGGATTTTGGAGCAGGGTATGAAAAATCTTCCTCCTCGCTCTCTTTATTGCCATTTTTCTTTATCTCTGGGTTAAAGAATTTTCCCAGGGAGCCCTAATAATTTCGTAATTCAAAAGTTGGCTGTTATTTTGCACCACATTGTTGGAGATTTTACTGAGTGAAGGGAGCTGCATGCATCTAATGAGTTTTTGTTGTTTTATGGTCCTCACTTTTCAATGTGCAAGCAGCAGGATATGGCCTGGAAATGTTTCAAAGTGTATCTGCCTTCAGTTCTTATTTTCTTGCCCAAACAGATCCTGATAAAAACCACCACTACCATCCATTTTTTAGATGTTCGTCCATTTCTCCAGTTATTCCCAAGGCTGTCCATGAACACACACTTGGGACACTTATGCACACATGCACAGAGGCAAGTTTTGTTTTTTGTCACAATTCAGAAAATAATGAAAATAGTTCATTTCTGTTGGCATCTCACTGCCTCCCTTCCACCCCCTTCAATACTAGAAAGATACAGGGATTTTTAAGTCATTTTAAAAATATATATTTTATTGTGTTTTTTTTTTCAGAGAGGAAGGGAGAGGGACAGAGAGTTAGAAACATTGATGAGAGAGAAACATCGACCAGCTGCCTCCTGCACACCCCCCAGTGGGGATGTGTCTACAAACAAGGTACATGCCCTTGATCGGAATCGAACCTTCGGACCATTCAGTCCACAGGCCGATGCTCTACCCACTGAACCAAACCAGTCAGGGCTTTAAGTCATTTTTCATAGGATGCATCACAGGAAAGGAGCACCAAACCAGAGATGTTGAGGAAAATCTAGTCTTAATCAATGTCATTAACTACAGCCCTGTATTTGAGAAAAAGCTGCTATCCTCCTACTATATGTTTTAAATTGTTATTAACTTGACCTGCCTGAATATATTTAGGAATGTCCATTTCAAGGATGTGGCTTGGGGGAGGAGGATTTTGCTTGTACCTCAGAAGAGGAGAAGGGGGTTTGGAAGGAGCAAAGGTTTTCCTTGCTTCATTCAGGACCCATATCTGTGGGTATTCCAGCACTCCCCTTTTATTTTATTTATTTTTTTATTATTTTTTTTTACTTTTTATTTTTTTAATTTTTAAAAATTAAATTATTATCTGTGTACATATTTTAACATTGCCCCCCCTCCCATACATACCCTCCCTCCCCAAAGTTTTGTGTCCATTGGTTGTACTTATATGCATGTATACAAGTCCTTCGGGTGATCTATTATCTCCCCCAGATCTCCCTATCCTACCTGCTGTAATTTTACAGTCTGCTTGTTGCTTTACTGTCTTTATATCTGACTTTTGGTATGTCAGTTTATAATGTTCTTTAATATCCATAAATGAGTGAGGCCATGTGGTATTTCTCTTTTATTGACTGGCTTATTTCACTCAGCATGATGTTCTCTAGTTCTATCCAGGTTGCTGCAAATGATGAGAATTCCTTCTTTTTTATGGCAGCATAGTATTCCGTTGTGTAGATGTACCATAGTTTTTGGATCCCATCATCTGCTGACAGGCACCTAGGCTGTTTCCAGATTCTAGCTATTGTAGATTGTGCTGCTATGAACATAGGGGTGCATATATCCTTTCTGATTGGTGTTTCTAGTTTCTTGGGATATATTCCTAAGAGTGGGATTACTGGGTCAAATGGGAGTTCCAGCACTCCTCTTTTAGATATGCAAAGCAATTTGGGTAGATTCTTTTGGGAATCCCTCTGAGTGTCCTTTTTCAGTAGTGATTTGACCCCATCAAAATCTCTAGATTGTTTGGAAAATGCTTTCTAAGTCTAATCTTTGACTTTCACATTTGAATATATGATGATTCCTTTTCAATGCATTTTTTTTTACCACCTTCTTCTCCAAACATAGACAAAGCCTTTAATTAATAATTTATTGTGCTTCTTTCTGCTGGCTCCACACTTAGGTTGCGTTTCTAATTGCCCCTATGAGGTTCAGGTAATAACTTTAACTTCTGTGAGTTTTCCCAGCATCCCAAATTCATTTATTAGAGCCTGCAATATCGTGTCATAAATCTTTCCAATAAACTTCAATTGCTGTATTCAGGCCAGTGGAAGATCAACAAAAATTGTTAGCTTTTTACAGTACCCCAGCAAGTGGTGCAAGGAATTATTCCTTCCGTCTGCAATGCATTTGCCTTGTGTTAAAAAGTCAGTCTCAGGACATTTCAAGCTTTGTCTTCAGACACCTTTGAAAAGGTTCAAAAAATCAATTAGGCAAAAAAAAAAAAAAAAAGTTCCTACTAGTATTAAAAAGATAGCGAATGTAATTGCTTAGCCCCAACATTGACCCTGTAAAATTATTTCTTCTTATTAAGCCTTCTTAATAAGACATACTGCTCATAAAGTGGACATTAACACACACACACACACACACACACACACACACACACACAATCCTAATGTAACAAAACGACTATTGCCTCTATTCATATTGGTAATGCAATAGCTATTTTGAAGATACATTAAATAAAAATAAATGAGGTATACAACTGTCACAGACTATATTTCCAGAAACAAATCTGACTTTTTCCACCTGGTTTGCTCCTTCTGTTGTGTTTCTCCGCCTGAGTTTTTTTGCAGATAGAATAAGGGAGTGACTAACCCCAGCCTGTGCACAAAGACAAGCTGGATTCTATATCTTGCTTATTTCCCACACTAGTTGTGTGAGCCTGAGAAAGTTATTGACCATACGTCTCAGGCCATAAACAAAATGGAGGTGATAACGGCACTGACTTTACTGGGTGGTTGTGGGGATTAAATGAGAAAATACGCATAGACTGAGGTGACCATGCCAAGATGAGTGTGAGTCCTCAAGGAATATTGACTCTTGTTGCTATTCTCTCAGCTTGAATGAACTCCTGGGTACCCTGAGAAATGTGTTTCTCTTATGATCTACTGTGCTTTTATTTTTGAAATCAGCATATATGTTTGTGTGTGTGTAATAGACTTTATTTTGTAGAAAAGTTTTAAGTTCACAGCAAAATTGAATGGAAGGTACAAATATACCCCATATAGCCTTTACATTGGGGTTGACTCTTGGTGATGTATGTTCTATTGGGGTTTGACAAATGTATAATGGCATGTATCCACTACTATAATATCACTCAAAGTAGTTGCACTGCCTTAAAAGTCCTCCATGTTCTGCCTATTTATCTTCCCCTCACTCCCAACTTCCGGCAACCATTGATCCTCTTATTGTCTCCATACTTTAATCTTTGAAGTGTGCTATCCTTGGAATAACACACTATGCAGTTTTTCTGATTGATTTCTATCACTCACTAATGGGAATTTAAGGTTCTTCCATGTCCTTTATCGCTCGATAGCTTATTTCTTTTTAGCACTGAGTAATATTTCATTGTCTTGGTGGACCACAGTTTATCTCTTCACCTCCTGAAGAAGACTGGTTGTTTCTAAGCTCTGGCAGTTACAGAGCTACTACAAACATCTGTGTGTAGTTTTCTTTTTTTGTAGGAACATACATTTTCAGTTTATTTGGTTAAGTACCAAACAGCAAATGGCTGGGTTATGTGGTAAGACTATGCTTAGTTTTGTAAGAAGCTGTCAAACTGTCTACCAAAGTGACTGTCCACTTCACACTCCCACTAGCATGACCAGCACTCCTGTGGCTCCACATTACTGGCAGGATCTGCTGCTGTAGGTGTTGGTGGGGTTTTGTTATTCTATTAAATGTGTAGTGGCATCTCATCGTTCTTTTAATTTGCAATACCCTAGTGACATACGATGTTTCACGTCTTATATGCTTATTTGGCATCTGTATATCTTCTTTGGTGAGGTAGGTGTTTGTGTAAGTCTTTGGTATATTTTTTTAATCTGGTAGTTTGTTTTCATATTGATGTATTTTAACAGTTTATTGCATATTTTGGGCGAAATTGGTTTATCAGATATGTCGTTTTTAATTGTAAAATAGATATCTCAGACAGAGCCTTAATGGGTAATCTTTTTTGGAGGTGGGGCATGGGGATGTTCATATTTTACTTCCATAGACAAATAAAACCACCATCAGTAGTGAAAAACAGATGCTATTTTATTCAAAACTATTTTGAGTGTTGAGGCATTGTTTAACAGCCAAAGCTCAACTTAGTATAGATGGACTCAAAAGCTTGATAAAGTCATAGGGCAGAAGAATCATATGCACAAATCATCACTGTGCATGGTAAATATTTATACATAATGAGAATGTACAAGATCAGAAAAAAATAATTATGGCTTGGGGCGGAAAGTTATTGACTCAGCTAACAGATATTTATTAAGCTCTTGCCAGATCATGGGTTTTAGGGATGAATTGCAAAAGTTGCATACCTTTAAGATCCTTTCAGGGCCAGAAACAGGTTCAAAGGTAGTGAATACTTCAGGAAGACTCAGGGAAGACCTTTGGAAGAGATAGAATTTGGACTTGCCTTCAAAGGAGTGGTAGGGTTGGGATGTTTGGAGAAGTGAGCAATGAGGGAGGAAACGCATTGCGGATATTGGCAACAGAAATGGTATAGGCACCTGACTGTCTTATGTTCCTAAAACAAAGAACCTACTAATTTCTGTTTTTTTTTTAATGATCATTTTATATCTAGGAAAGTACAATTAATAATATGATAATAATAGATTATATTTATTGATAATATACATTGACCTAGGCAGTATTTTAAATACTTTTAAAAATAAAATATTATGTAATCCTTACTCAATTTCTGAGGTAGATGTGATTTTTATTCTCAGTGCATGAATTTGTGCACCTTGAAAGGAACTATGGGCAGTGAGGCAACGGTGAGCACAGGGGCGGGTCTCGGCCCATCCTCCACAACCCCACCTGGCCCCTCCCACCATGACCACCTTCTCCCCCCCCCCCCCCCCCCCCCCCCCCCCCTTCCCCTGTATCCTGTCTGCTGGCAGCCTCACTCCTGCTGCTGCAGATCCCACTTGATAATAGCGCTGACCCTGCTCACACCCACTGATGGCATGGAGCCATTGGAGCCGGTACCAGCAGCAGGTGCGAGTGGCAGCTGCTGCCCCAATCACCCATCAGGAGCAGGAGGAAGTAGAGAAGCCCTCAGGGGTGATCAGGACCAGCAGCTGCTGCTCACACCTACTGATGGCATCGAGCGATTGGGACCAGCACCAGGTGTTAGCAGCGGGTAAGAGCAGGACCAGCAGCAGGTGTGTTGGGCATGACTGTGAGGTGTGAGAGCAAAGAATTTTCAGTTTCCATTAGAGGCTCGCCCCGATAACAGTGACCAATACCTTGCTTGGTCTGGCGCCCCCCACTCACTTGCTCTACCATCACACTGTGGCCAAAACCCACCATGTTCTGCATGTGCCCTCTGGTGGTCAGCATATGTCATAGCGGCCAGTTGTTTGGTTGTTCCACTGTTTGGTCTATTTGCATATTAGCCTTTTATTATATAGGATTTTACTAAAAGAAACCATGGCTGAGTTCACATGGGACTGGGCCACCTTCTTCCCCCCACCTTTCCCCCCCTCCCCAATCACTCAGGCACATTTGACCTTGAGTTCTACACTGCCTGTCAAAGCCTTGGCAAAGCTCTTCAATCCTCTCTGGATTCTGTCTTCATAGGAAGAGTTCACAACTCAAGTATTTTAAAAGTGTATTTTAAAAAATGCTTGTAAAACCAAAAATGCTGCTGATCATGTTGATGACAGAGAGAGAGAGAGAGAGAGAGAGAGAGAGAGAGAGAGAGAGATTGATTTTACTTTGAACCAGTAACTATGCACTCATCAAAGCTAAAGTAGAATAAGCAGTCTTGTGTAATGTAAGTTTGTTTTGTTTTCTGAAAAAATGGTGGACAAGGGAGGTATCTGCTTAAGTGAGACAATATAATGACGGATGAGAAGAGAAAGCTGTGTGGTTTGACTCCTGTTGAGATGTTATCTTCCCCATCATTTAGAATGTTGCACTAGGAAGGGTAATATGGAATTGAGGAAGATGAAGCCCCAGATAAACAAGAGAGTTCCTGTTTTCAGATAGTAGAGCTGGAGGGACCTATTATGGGTGAAGAAAATGTTTGAGTAAAAACAGAAAGCCCAGGTGAACTGGAGGGGGTGGTTACAGTCCTATAATTGCATTTTCAAAGCCAAGAGAATACATACATAGACGATAGCTTGCTAATGAATAGTGTGCAAAGGTCTAGGGACTTTAGTTTACTAAAAGCTCAGATTTGTAGCTAATGAGTGTGGCCATTAACACAGCCGGACAATATTGATGGAAGACTAATGCCTTAATTAAGGGAAGTGGCGCACTGTTTAGTACCCATCCTATGTATTACAGTTAAGCCAATGTATTGTGTTAAGGTCCTTTAAAATTGAAGTTTGTCAGCAAATTGAATATCTGAGGGGTGAATGGTTAGAAAAGCTACTCTGCATGGTTAATAGTTACAAAGGAGAAAATGATTCCCCGGGAGAAGAGGGTGGAAGAAAAGTAGACTGGAAAACAGTTTTCAAACAGGTGAAAGGTTGTCATATGGGAAAAAGGTACAGATTACACATTGTATTGGTTCATACTGCAGACACGTGCCAGAGAGGAGATCTTTAGTTCAAAAGGATTTTAAAAAATGAACAGCCTCCTTTGAGAAATAGCAATATCACTGTAAGGTTTCAAAAGTGTAAGTGCCCTTTGCTGAGATATTTTAGAACTGTTTCCTGAATGGAGAGAGAGTTTGGGCCTCAGACCTTTTTCCAATGCCCAAATTTTTGTGATTTTAATATTCAGTGTTTGTATTCAGTATCATTGAATTTTTGGCAAAGACCTTGTCATTTCATTCACCTGTTGCTTCCTGGTACATCATAAAACACTAATATAATGGACCAAAGGAAATCCTACTATATAAATTTCCTATATTCACAGGTATCCAAAATAAATAGTTGTTTGCAATTTAAAGTTTTAAGTAATCTGAGCAAATAGGGTGAAATAAAATATGATATTAATGGGAGTCAATCAAAGTCCTAAGTTCTGGAAATAAAATGAGACAGAAAGGATGTTGACAGTGTTATATTTAGGATACTGATAATTAAAAGGAGACTCCGTTACATTAAACTCGTGTTTTATTTTTCTTCTGTTCTAAGGTATTTTACCAAATGTCTTTTCCTATGCCTTGTGATAATGTATGCATTTATATTTGACTGTCTGATTTCTAGAAAAGTTTTCTGAAAATTGACATCTTTATGTCATTTAAAATGCCTGTATTTTATCCAACAGTGTAGTTTCAGTTTAGTGGCACTCAGTGTGTGAGTGTTTTCCTTTTTCCCCCAATGATTTAAACTATTTTCATTTCTTATCATACTGCAATGATTGACATCTCTAAAACAAATCTAAAATATATGGGTGCTAATCCAAAAAGAAATTCTTACCTGAATGAGGATGCTGTTAGTGTTAGGCATGTTGTTCCCAGTTATTTGAGATGTGATTTTATTATGCTGAAAAATATTTTTCTATTTCTGCTATACCAAGTGAATTTCATAAGATTTGAGAATGGTATTGGATGTACAAAATATCTTTATAGAATCTATCTTAATGATTTAAGTTGTTTTTCTTCATTTGGTGTAATGATCCATGTTAATAGATAGCCTAATTTTGAAACATCTCAGCAGTCTTTGTCATACATGGCATCTGAAATAAGAAAGTACCACCACACTTGAGAGTTCTGGGTTTACATTTAGTGTAAATCTGGGCAACATTTTCTCATCTGTTAAGTGATCAAAATAAATGTTTTTTCAAAGTCATAAAGATTAAATTAGGTATTATGTACTGTGTCACATAGGAGCTGACATATAATAAATGGCACTACACCTTTATCATAGTAGGTTATGCATTTAGATACAATTGAATATATGTAAGGAGTATGTCAATTATGTCAATTGTAATAATCCTATATAATAAAAGCCTAATATGTGAATTGACTGAACAGTGGAGCAACCAGTTGCTATGATGTGCACTGACCACCAGGGGGCAGACACTCAACGCAGGAGCTGCCCCCTGGTTGTCAGTGTGCTCCCACAGGAGTGCTGCTCAGCCAGAGCCAGGTTCACAGCTGGTGAACATAGTGGCAGTGACAGGAGACTCTCCTACCTCCACAGCAGCTCTAAGGAGCAGCAAGCCAAGTGGTAAGGTATAGTGAACAGGTGGGTGGTAAGGAGCAAGGGGTCCTGGACTGCAAGAGGAATGTCTGACTGCTGGCTTAGGCCTGCTCCCAGGAGTGGGCCTAAGCCAGTAGGCAGACATCCCCCAAGAAGTCCCAGACTGCGAGAGAGCACAGGTAGGGCTGATGGACCCCTCCCCCCCTCACCAGTGCACAAATTTCATGCACAAGGCCTCTAGTGATAACATAAAATGGCTTATGGATTTGGAACCTATGTATATGTGTGGGTGCTGCATTTCACTGGCTTTTGTATATGAAAGTTCTAATTTTATGAAGTTAAGATAAGTAGTTGGCTAGCAATTTTTATACTTTAAAACATATTTCTTCACTGGTAGTGACCTATTTCTAGGAATTTTCCCCCAAATTCAATAGAGCATAGTAGTGACTAAAATAAAGAGTTCTAGATTCAATGCCTACTTCTTCAACTGATTAGCAGAGTGACTTTAGGCAAACTGACTAACCATTTTTATGCCTCAGTTTCCTCATTCATAAAATGAAGGTAATAATAATATCTGCCTCTCAGTATTGATGAGGATTTAATCAATATTCAGTAAATATTCATTTTGTGGCCATGACAGATCAGAACTGTGTTTGGAGCTATATTAAAAAAGATAAATTGGGGAAATAGGGAATATTAACTGACAATTAAAATTTACTGTTAATATTATAATCAACATTACTAATAACTAAAGCACAAACTATGTTCACAAAGCCTTTTATACTGGCATTTTCCTCAGTTATTTCTGTTCTAGTTTATCAGTTTCAGTTATTTCTTTACTTGTTTATCAGTTACAGCTCTGTAACAATGTATGAATATAGCTAGGAAGATTGATGAATAAGTATTTTGTCTTCTTTTTTAAAGAAAATGACAATTTGTCTGACATGTTTATTTTACTATGTGGGTAAGAAAAAAATATGCTAGAATGCACTATGTGGCAATATTTGTGATATAATAATTTTTATTATAGCAAGAAGCTAAATAGTAATAACTTTGTAAAGCTCTTGGTAGTCTCTTTAATAATTTTATAGATGGCTAGTAATGAATGAGAAATATACCTTATATAACTTTCAGCTGGGTAAACTGAAGGACAGTATGACACCATTTACATTTCTAGGAGAGTTTTCACTAGCAAGAGAATGAAAGGCGGGGGGGGGGGGGGGGGGGGGGGGGGGGGGGGGGGGGGGGGGGGGGGGGGGGGGGGGGAGGGGCACGTAGAAAGTCAGAAATAATACACACTCTTCCAAAAAATAAACTGTATTAAAATTAAGATATGTTTCAGGAATGGATAAATTCAACAGTATTTTATTGTTGTTGTTAATCCTCACCTGAGGATATTTTTCCCATTGCTTTTCAGAGATAGTAGAAAGAAAGAAGGGAGGGATTCAGGGAGGAAGGGAGCAACATCCATATGTGAGAGAGACATATCAATTGGTTGCCTCCTAAAAAACACCAAGACTTGGGGCAAGGAGTGAACCTGCAGGTACTTGCCCCTTCAGTGCACAGACCAACGCTCTAACCACCGAACACACCAGCCAGAGCTTGTTAGTATTCCTGAAACACTCAGCCACTGTGTGGGTGGAAGACAGCAAAGATGAACGTTTGGAGGTTGAGAGGTTAATTTTGGTGTCGCCATTGACTCCCTCTTACTTTGTGTGTGTATTTATTTGGAGAACTTGAGTGTTGTCTACTTTTGAACCAATAATCATACATTTTCTATAACCAGTGCATTTTAGCAATCTGTGTTCATGTCAGTAGAGTCATTTGTTAGGAAAATGTGCTGGAATAGTTCAGCTCTTATAATGTAGATTGGACATTTTGATGTTTTAAGCCAGTATTGAATCAGCATTCATTAAAAACAAAAATAAAGTAAAATGCTAAGAAAGCACTTAAATTTATAAGACACATTTATACATCTGTCTTAAAAATATTTTCATAATTTCTTATGGAATTTTGGGGGTATAAAATGTAATAGCAAAAAGGCTGATAGAGTTCATTAAAGCAGGAAATTGCATTTTTTTCAAAGTAATATGGAATAACTTAATTTTGACTAGGAAAGCTAATGAAAAGCTTAATGTCACTAAACCAGTTGTGCTGGGTTCACATTTGTTGCATCTCGGTTCAAACTTAAATGGTTCCCACATCTCTTACTCAATTATCATTAAGTATAATTGTTGAATTTTGAGAATAAATCATAGATTGTCCTTGTTAGTTGTAAATTGGAGTGCAGTCAGAGAATGTATTAAATATTCTTCTCTTTTTGTCAAAATCAAAAGTATGCGCTTTGCTTGAGGAGAAAGAATTCTATTTTTTTGTTCATTTTTCGGAACAGCATGGGTTATTTAAGATTTCTAGCATAAAGCATTTTCCCAAAGCTGGCATTCTTGGGTGCTATCTTGCATGAAATTAGCACAAAATAAAAATGGTATCATTAAAAACTAGATCCATGCTTACAGTCTTATGGAGAAAAAAAAAGATAGCAATGATTGAGAAGCTGATTTCAAAAGACTAAGATCAGAATGAAGCCATTTTAAGAATTTTTATTTATAAATAAAAATAGTCCATAAACATTCATGTAAGGAGAGTATTAAAAGCATCTGAATGGCCACATTTTTAAGAGAGGGGCTAAATGAGATAGAAGAAGAAATTAGACTAATGTAAACATTTATCATCATGACCTAGAGCAGAGGTGGAGAATCTTTTTGCTGCCAAGGGCCATTTGGATATTTATAACATCATTTGGGGGGCATACAAAATTATCAGCTTAAAAATTAGCTGCTGTATTTGATCAAACACTTAATTAACTTACCCCTAATGCCTTGGCAGGGCCAGATCAGATTATTTCATGGGCTTTAACTGGTCTGTGGGCTGCAGGTTCCCATCCCTGACCTAGAGAGGAAACTAAAAAAGTTGAAAAATTGCAATAAAAAATATTTCGATTGGGTCAGTTAATATTTAAAGTTTTAGATACTCTACCATTAAATTATTTTTATTATTTGATATAAAATATAGTTAATGATGGTTTGTTTCATCCTTTTCTGAGACCATTTAAAAGGCTTTATATCAAAGTACTCTATAAAAATCTTTTTTTTTTAAAGCAACCAAGCTGGTTACAAAATTCAGGTCTATGTTTTCTTGATTATTGAATTTGACCTTTGGAAGACTTGATCTGATGAAAAGTTTTAATATTTATTTTTAAATATTAGGTTTATCCCTATTGGGAGACTACTTTCTCAGTATGATGGATATTCTTTTGGATTTGTTGGAAGTTTGAGAAACATCTTTCCAAAATAACAACAAATACTAAAAATGATTTAAAGAAATCTGTAGCTGTATGGGAAATAGATACTAGATTAAAACAGAGATTCAGACAAAGGGAGGTGAAAGACAAAAACCTTTTCTATAAGGGCTCCTTCATTATAGAGTAGGGGTGTCGAACTCAATCAGAGAAGGGGCCAAAATCTAAAATCCAGCCTAAATCTCGGGCCGAATGGTTTACTGAACAGTCATAAACTGTCATTGTGATGGAAACGCAGCGGAGTGCAGTGATGACAGCGCGGTGCGGGCCACATTGCAAGGCCTGGCGGGACGGATTTGGCCCGCGGGCCTTGTGTTTGACACATGTGTTATAGAGTCTCTGAGGATTTGCAGACACACCGAATTATAATTAAACCTAAAGGATATTATGCCTCCATTTCTGTTCCCTAGGCTCCTGAAGTACGAGAAAATTTACTCTGGCCCTAGTAGTGATAAAGTTTTAGCCTACTAAATACTGAATACTAACTTAATGCCTATGAAAGAAGAATTGCTGAGTTCTGCCTACCCGATTTGAGCAACTTTGTCAGTGTTCAAAGCCTCATACTAGTACAATGATTAAAAAGGTTCAGAGACTCTAGAATACTCTCCTGTGGCCTCTTGAACTTCCAAGGGATTTTGAAAAGGGTCCAGTATGGTGTGGTTGAAAAACATTAGTCTGGAACCAGATAGTACTGGTTCCTATGTTGATGTGACTACAGGATGTTTTAGCTCTGTGACTTCAGAAAAATCACTACATGACTTGCTTTGTAATTCAAACATCCTCAGCATGATGATTATAAGCTAACAACAGACATGTTCTGAGGATTGAAGGAATTAAGGTTTGAAAAGTCATCAACATATTGCTTGGTATACACAAAGATGTTAGCATCTGTCTCTTTCCAAGAGGCTTAGTAATAACCACGTCTAAACTGCAGACTCATTTTAGCACCTGGACCTTTTCTGAAAGGTACAGTAATATGGTCTTAAGCACATGAAGCCTAGAACCTGGAACCTGGTTGCCTGAGACCAAATCATAGCTCTGATGCTTATTAGGCATGTGATTTGGGCAAACCTTTTGAGGCTCAGCTTCCTTATCAAATAAATGGAAATAACGATACATATTCTAATATATTCTAATACCCATAAACTACTTAGAAGGATTGACTAGCACATCACAAGTATTTAAGAAGATTAGTTGTGATCATCATCATCATCGCCATTACCATCACCATCACCATCATCATGATGCATCTGCTGAAAAAAAATGCAGCCCTTCTTGAATATTCATACTCATTTGGGGAGCTTTAGCATTGAGATTACAAAATAGTGAACAAGTTAAATGTGGCTTCTGTTTGGCCTTAGAATGACATTTGTGATTAATTTCTCAGTAGATTTTTATCTTCCCAGGTTTGATTTGTATTCATTTGGAAAGAGTTGGCATGTTTGGCAGGGGAAGCATGTAAGTAGAATATGAGATCACAGCATATTGATCTTGCTGTGATATTTAATAATTAAAGATATATCATAGATAACCCAAGGTCCACTGAAGAGTACTGTTAATTAAGTAAGATGTAGCCTTCCTATATGGCACTGGTTTTTCAGCTCCTCTTAAAACAGACTTTTAGGTGAGTGTTTTTTGTACTTCACTGGGTATCCATTAATCAAATTTTGTTTCATAAAAGGCATTTTCACAGATAAACATTGGACTCTTGCTCAGCGGATCCAATAACCAGCTCCACCCTAGAATTCTCAAGTTCTCTCCTCCCCCAGTCCCCAAATATAGAGGATTAATTATGTGAGAGTGGGAAGCCAGGAAAGAGCTAACCAGTGAGAAGGAACAACAAAGATCCTCAGATAGGATTGAACATGGTACATTCATGGTAAGGAAAGGCCAGTGTGAGAGAGACATGAGGAAGAGAGAGAGCAAGAGCATGTGTTTTTTTGTTGGATGGCTGATAGCTTGACTTTGCTCCAGATGTTTCTCCTTCAGGCTGTCTTTACTCTCTTATCAGAATCCACAAGCCTCCTCAAAATATCCTCTGGCTCTTCTTGTCAACAATGAGAAGAGATGATCTCAGGAAATCCTCAGTGGTAACTGCTCCTGAGAAGTTAGCATTAAACATTTATCTCAAGTTCACAATATTTATGAATTATTTGGATAGGGCACTCACTGTGTTTCTGGTTTCAAAACTCTTGACTAAATTGCAGGGGGAAAAATGGATACTTTTGACTATTTGAGTTTTTTCAAAAGAATAATTGGATGAAGAATTTCTGCCGTTGTTTGAAGTGACTTGTTCAGTGGTTGGGAAACTGACTTTAAGGGACTCAAACATTGAACCTTGCTCATTTTCTCTGCCAGGTGGTTGGGGAGATAAAAAGGTTAAAGGTGAAAACTTTTCTTTCTTCAACTAATTTGAAGAGGGTAATTGAAAAACTAGTCAAGTGATTTCAAGCAGTATTTTTAAAGAGAATACTTGCTACATCTTGAGATAAAAGGATTCTCTAGAGAAATAACTTACTAAGACATTCTACCCCACAAAGAAATAAAACATGAGCTTTGAAATGTAAGCATGTGATGATGAATCATTTTTTGACATTGTAGAAGTAAATGACTTTTGGAAAATGTGGCAAGTCCCGGTTGATTCAGAAAGCATTTATATATTCCATATCATAAAGTACATTGATGAGTGGAACTTAGGAACAAACAGATGAGTGCCAAGATACATCCTGTTAGGTTTTATCAATTATTTCCCATTTTTAGATTGGAAGATTCTAGAAATGTACTTCCAGTTGCTTTATTTCTGCAAATGACATGTTGTAGTTTTTATGCATACTTTCATAATCTAGTTTTATCCCTCTTTGACAAACCTTCTAGATAATACCAACATATGTTCATATATAATTTACATATCTCTATCTTTATAAGAAGTCAATATATTTATATCTGAATCTGCATTTGTACATAAAAGCATCTGTCTTTATACATAGTTGGTTTCCTCCGTGGGGCCAATATTTCCTCTGCCTATAAAACTCATACTCTCATGATTGATTTCTTCACATCTACACCTCCTCCAAGAGGCTTTTCTTAATCACTCACTGCCTCTTATAACACCCTTTTCTTTTCTTTCTTGACACTTAGCATACTTTATATGCTAATACAAAGTTTAATGTATAAAGAAATAACGAGAGACATAAGCTTCATAATAAGAGCAGTGCCATCTGTTTTGTTAACCACTGTTTATCCCAAACTTAGCAGAATGTCAGGAGTATAGTAAGAAATCTACTTGTCTTTATTGAATGAATGAATGAATGAATGAATGAATGAATATCATTGAGGATTAAGCTCTTCTATGATACTTCCAAAAATTTTAGTGTATTTTAGGCAAGGAAATCATGCAACTTAGGGAAATGAATGTATGTAAATACGACCAACAAATACAGTTTTAAAATTTTGGGTCCTAGAGAGAATGGTACAGTGATTTGTGAAACACACTGCACCTAAATACACTGACAAGAGATATTGGTAAGCATTTCTTGACATTATTTTATTTTTGTGGGAGTATTATTGTTTTATTAAGACAAAGAAAGGTCATAATCATCAGGAACCTTGGCCTTAGAGATTCCGCATTCTCTCCTGGAAACTCTCTGGTGCCAAAATTACACACATAAACATAGATTTATTTTTGATGGCTGCAGAAATGATGGCTTACCACGCTGGGGATAATGGAGCCTTGCTGATTCTATAGAAAATAGTCTTTGGTGAATGCATTTCTCCACCCATATGCACACATTTGCTTTTTCTAAGGATAACAGACCTGTAGCCCTGGACTAGAAGTCAATAAGAAAGAAAAGAAGGAAGGTAACATTGTCAGCTTTTCTCTTGAATGCATTTCAAGTTAGGGCTCTGCTTGAGGCTTATGAAAACCAAGACAGCATTATTTAAAAATAACTCCCTCAAACACACTTGAAAATATCACCTCACTCTTATTTTTCTGATTGTAAGTCATGATTCCAAACCAACCTTTTCTTTCATAAGCATTTATGCAGTGAGACCTTTAAAATAATTGCATATATCTCTTGATATGTTTTTGTTTTTCAAAAACAGTTTTTAAAATGCGAAGGCTGGTTCTGTTTTACTTACAACCTAATTACTAAGGTAACATTTGCCATGCGGAGGACTAAAATCACCATTCAAAGAAACTTTGTTTATTTGTCTTAAAAAATGTGGTGCTATAGATTTAGAGTCAGACTGTAATTATATAATCAGCTCTTCACCAAAATGATGGTCCCAAGATACAACAACTAAATTAAATCTACAAATAACCCCAAACCCTTTGTATAGGAAAATCATTTTGCAAAGAAATGCCAACCACTAGCAGAATTGATAAAGCCAGTGTCTTCTCCTGTGCAGTTCCTGGTGGAGGGAATACCAAGCAGTGTAACAGTGCAAAGACAAGAAATCAGAGAGAAACAAGGGCATGGTTTTAATCAGCACCTGAAATACAATGTTTATGGCATAGAATTTCCTGACTGGCTAAAAAGCTTGAACAAAACTCATTTAACATCTACTGGTAACC